TATATATATATATTCTTATGATATTCATTTATGGGCATGTTGAACCTCTAAGACTCAATTCACTCTCATATGCCATTGTTTTTTAAGATCCAAATTATAAAATTTGTCTTTCGCCTTCTTATGTATCTTTCAATCTATTTTCAATAATCATAAAATTTTATATAATGTGATTTGATCGATTATAGTATAACATTAGTATCTATCATCTCTTATAAACGCTTCGGAATCGTTTGGTAGGGTGTATAAGAATAGTACTGAATAAGGTGTATTAGTATTGCTGAGATTAGTTATGCTGGGATTAATCATGCTTTGATTATCTTTATCCACTCTTTGATTTGGTGTATTAAAGATTTTGAAAGGACAGTTCTACCTTTATAGATGCTTATCCATGTATTAAAAATTATGGTATTACTAATGCAATGGTTTGCTATGTATAAGAAGTACTGAATAGAGTGTATAATTTATATAAATATTAGTTATATATATATTGGTTAAAAAATACGACCAACAACAACAACAACAATAACCCAGTATAATCCCACTAGTGGGGCAAAAATTATGGTATTACTAATGCAATGGTTTGCTATGTATAAGAAGTACTGAATAGAGTGTATAATTTATATAAATATTGGTTAAAAAATACGACCAACAACAACAACCCAGTATAATCCCACTAGTGGGGTCTGGGGAAGGTAGTGTATACGCAGACCTTACCCCTACCCTAGGGTAGAAAGGCTGTTTCTAATAGACCATCCCTCCAAGAACCCCCACCTTGCTCTTGGGGTGACTCGAACTCACAACCTCTTGGTTGGAAGTGGAGAGTGCTTACCATCAGAGCAACTCACCTTGTCTTTAAAAAATACGACCAAACATGAAATTAATTATACTAAAGTTAATACATATATTATTTTCCCTAACACATCCTACCAAACGATCTCGTGCTGTATACAATTAGTGTCATTGATCTTTTAAGAAATTTAATTGATAAATGGTTTTAAATAATTAAACGCAAAATATCGAAAAGTTTATCCTTTTTCATATCGTCCACTTGACTGTTTCCATTTAACGCTGTTACATTGTCACAACTTTACAACATAGTGTTTTCATCAAATTCTCCAAGGTGAGCTGCTGAGGCGTATGTAGCCTTGGAGGGAAAAAAAGCCCGTGGATTGTCAAAAAATAAAATAAAAATTTAACAATTTTACGTGAACTTATTTTTTTTTATTTAATAAAGAACGATACTTTCTAAGTTTTGAAGCAATCAATTTAAATTTTTTATTTTATTTTTAATAAGAATTTTTTATAATCACATAAATATTTATTTAAGATCACAAATTTAAAATTTTATTAACGCATAAATATTATAATATATTTAATATCACAAACTTCAACTTTAAAACTTAGGTGTCCAATCAAATTAATTTACATAAATTAAAACGCATAAAATATTAATAAATAAAGAAAAAAAGAAAAAAATTAACGACGTCGTATAATGGAAAACCCTGGAAATAAAAATTGAAGACGTCACTCCACCGCGCACTTTAGCACCTACGATTTTCAGAACCCCAACGTTAAAATCGCCTTCTCTCTCTCCTCCTCTGACTGCCTATATAAACTTTACGTTCCCGGCGATTTCACGTAAACTCATCTCAACACAATACACAAACCAAAAAAGAAAGGGACAAAGCTTGAAAATTAATATACAAGAATATGAAACCCATTTTCTCTCTCCCTCTCTAATATTAATTTTCCTATAAATTGTTGTTGATCAATTGAGCAAAGTGAAAGAAAGGTTAAAGAACGGAGCTTTGAGTCTTAGCTATTTGAATTGTCTTAAGACTTTTAATGGCGATGGGACCAGAAAGATCAAAGCCTTTACACAATTTCACCTTACCATGTGGGCTTAAGTGGGGGAACCAGAAGTTCTTGAGGTGCGCTAAGGTTGATTCCGACGGAGAAATCTCTACCGTTCATCGCAGGCCATATAATAAAGAATCGATCGGACGGCGGAGGGAACCGGAGGCGGTGGAACGGCACCGATTAAATGATCGGTTTAGTCGGAAATTCAGGTCGGTATATGCCGGCGATAGTGGAGAGGGAATCGGAGCTATGAGAGAGAAGCTTATGTTTGATCTTCAAACAGAAGCTGACAAGATGAAAGACGCGATTTTCAAAGAAGGTTTGAATGAGCAACCGGAGAAGGAAGTATCGCCGGCGCCGGCGAAAACTGTGACGGCGGATGCAGCTGATGTCGTCGACTTATCCAGGCCGTGGAACTTAAGGACTCGCCGAGCGGCTTCTAAGGAGCCTAACGGATTCACTCCCGGCACCGGCGGATCGAAAGGAGGGTTGAAGATTGAGGTTAACAGAGCTAATGCTTCGTCGCCATTAAGGACGGAGAACAAATCTCCGACACTTCGAAGTGGTTTTGCCGGTGGAGCGGCGGCCGGAGCTTCTACCAGCGGTGAGAAGAGAGAGAGGGTGAAGTTTTCGGTTCCCCTTTCGCGGAAGGAGATCGAGGATGATTTCATGGATATGGTAGGACATAGACCCCCTCGTAGACCCAAGAAACGAGCTAAATTTGTTCAAAAGAATTTGGACGTAAGTTAAATTTTCTCTTTGATTTATGATAGTCTCTAATTAAACGAATCAAAATTGAGCTTAATGAAAATAAGAGATTTATATGGCCGATCACAACTAGTTTGAATTGAGGCATAGTTGTTTTGTTTTTGCTGTTTTTGTTGATGATCATTTTGGTATACAGTGTAATGTGATGTTGATGTTTGGTTTATCTATTTTGCAGACGTTATTTCCAGGGTTGTGGTTGACGGAAATTACAGCTGATTTATACAAAGTGCCTGATGATCAGTAGATAGATTGAAAAGGTAAACATTGATCATCATTTTGTACTTTGAAGACTAGTCAGGATTCAGATTTGGATATCAAGATTCAAGAATGATCTCAATGCAAGTTTGAAAGCTAATGTTTGTGTCTGCAGATGGAAGTATGATTTTTGTGTCAAAAGATGGTAACTTTGTGACAGATCAACTAGCTAGTATATAGTATAGAACACCACCTGAATTTGGGAATTCGATGATATCATCAAATTTCCTCAGACAACAAAATTGGTGTTAAAAAAAGCAGAAACTTTAGCTGCTGTGGAGATGCAATTTTGTTTAATTGATTCATTTTGTTCATAATATTCTCTGTTTATGTTCATTGGATAAGTATAACATAGTACTGATGTTGTCAGATCAAACTCAATTGTTCACAATGTGAGCTAAATTTTAGTGTTTCCAAGTGCATTCATTACTTACTGCCTTGTTCTTCTCTGTACATTGAACTGTTTGTATTTCTCATGACAGTGGTTGCTTGCTTTCTTCTTGTCTGATATTGAACACAAAAATTTTCTCTATCGGGCATGGTCTTTCTGCAAGTCCAAACTGCTCTCCTCCGTGGTATGAGATTGTAGTGAAGCTAAAGGGCAAGTTGAGATGATTTTTCTGAAAGCGCAAGCTCGCCGCTTCCTATATATATGATTATATTCTAGGTGCAGCAGCTCTTTGAGAGATTTCTGAAATGCAACTGAAACCTGCAACACCTAGAGCCTGTCATTTTAGCTGAGGTTCTTAGTAAAATGTATATCCAGTTGGCTCTTGCATTTGGTTTCATCTTTCTCCTTGCATTTTTCTTTTGAAATCTCGATGAAGAAGCATGTTCGAGCTCAATTCTCACTTCCCAATGTTTTCCTGTGAAATCATTCTTGAATTTTCTATTGCTATCTCTGAAGATCTAGTGTCCATACCTTTGAGGTCGGTCTGGAAAAGGTTCAAATTTATCCATTTGCTATTCGAAATTGCTCAATTTTTTTCATCAGTTAAATGTTTGGCTTATTCATCCTTATGGTTAGTAAATCATCATTTCGTATTTGCCTTTGTCATTAAATGAGCTCTGGCGTGAAATGGATGGACTCCACGTATTCAAATTAATTTTCGTTGGTTGGCTCTACGAGTTAAAGGGCAAAAACGGAACTTTATCATAATGGAGGAGGTAAAATTAACCCAAAAGTTTAACGAAGGACAAAATTACTCAAACTCGTTTAGTATAAAGGGCAAATTTGACCCTTTTGCAGGTTAAACAATATTTTCTTGAATGATGATCTATTAGCTAGTATAAGACTTTTCTACTCTTCAAAGATATTGGCAAAGGTTTGGTACCTGTGACCCTTAGAGATGTGAAAATGATATAGGAGAATGTTGCTTATCAACCTTTGCAGCATCAATCTAAGTTATTGAAAAATTATCCTAATTTTTGGTAAGCAAAACATTTTTTTCCAAGTCTAAACCTTTAAAGGGATCTACTCTTTTGGAAAAACTCTTAAGATTAGATTTTTACATCCCAAAATTGCAATTCTCTAACTTGGATTTTGCTTCGGCTTTTAATGGATTTGATTGAATAATGGGTAATGAAATTGGAGTCCATTTATAGTTTGAGTTACACACTTACAGTTAAATATAGTTTAGCTAGGCCAAAGGCAATTGAATACTGTCCAAATTAACTCAAATACTTTTAGTCAAACAAGGGATCAAAACTAAGTTTGCATCGAACAAATTAAATCCAATCTTCTAAAGTTCATTTAATTTTCTCATTTCCATCCAGCCTGCATATTTGAACTCCATCATTCAAGACGCAGTGCCCAAATATTACCCTCTATTTTTATGTTTTCTAAAGTAATATAAATTGTTATTCTTGATATTTACATGTTATCTATCCTTTTTACTATTATTTATAGGGAAAGGGGCAAATAATGCTCCTCAACTATGGGAAATAGAATAAAATTGCTTCTTTTTTTTTTTTTGAATCTGGCTTCGAACATATCCTTATCACTAGTGGATTGTTTAAATTTGCCCTTCAACTATGAAAAATAGAATAAATTTTTGATCCGTTTGAATTTGGTCCCAAATATGCTTCATATTATGAGAGGACTAGCTTATATTTGCCCCTCTAAACTAACGGTATCCAACTTCTTATTTTTACCCATTTAAAACATCTAATTACTCATCATATTCATGTCTTTTCCCTATTAAAAAAATTCACTCCTCCTGAAGTTTAACAACTATTAAATATACGGAGAAGGGTCAAAATTACCCCTTTACTATTGAATATTGTTTAAAACTACCCTCCGTCATACTAATGGAGCAAAACTATCCCTCCCGTCTAACTATTGAACAAAAATACCCTCACTTTAATGGAAGTGCCACGTGGCAACAACTAATCTAAACTTACCCGACCCAACCCACCTAAAAAAATCGATTAACATTTAAAAGACCCCATTAACACCTAGCTAAAAAATAAGTCTAAATCTTTTTTCATTTGTCTCTTTTTTTAATCAATCCTTTGCACTCACCTCCACCTACACTCCACCGCCGATGAAGCCATAACAACCAACGCACACTTTCCTCTCCAAACACATGTGTTGTTTAACAAAATCAAAACTCAATTCTTCTAAATCAAATAAAAGAGGAAACATCTTCTCAAATCTAAATGGTAACCATATCTATCATCAAAATTCGGATAAGTTACTACCACCAAATATGTAATTTGCTGCCCCACTTTGGCCATTATCCAATAAAGTTCTCAGACATCATATCATGGCCGAGAATGGGCGGAACCTCCATGGCCGCCAATGTCAAGTTTGCCAGATTTTATTTTTTTAGATTCATGAAATCTGGAATAATGAAATGAAATGAGCTTTCACAAAGTGGGGAATCTGAACTGGGGGAAGAATTCTGATGGAGCAAAATTTGCTAGAACAATCGGATGAGGCTCGTCGGAGTTTCTGTTCACGAGCAACAAGATTCAGAGCATTTTGAAGGACTTCCCACTGATAAAACGAACTGAAATTTGAGATGTCGGTATCCAAGCAACGGAAAGAGACCTCTCGATCCACATCTTCATTTGGATTACTTTTTACTCCCGATTTGTTGGTTGTCGGAGGCGATTTAGATGAATGCTAGATGTACGGTTTAGGAGTAAATGCGTTTAACTGCCGGCGAAGATTCTAGTACTAAGCATATGTTATGTTTGTTGTGTGTAGAGATTGGTTACAGAAATGTAATGGATTTGGTTGCCGGCGGTAATTTCTGGTATTAAAGGTATTCACCACTTTTTATGTTTAGTTTTGGTATTGTTTAGCCACGTGTCATTTATATAGGTCCTTTTTTAGATGGGTTTTAGGGTATTGGGTCGGGTAAATTTACAAAAAAAAATCGGTTGGACCAATTCTATCAGATTGCTGCCACGTGGCACCTCCGTTAAGACAGGGGTATTTTTGTTCAATAGTAAGACAGTAGGAATATTTTTGCTTGATTAGTACGACGGAGGGTAGTTTTAAACAATATTCAATAGTAGAGGGGCATTTTTGACCATTTACCGTTAAATATAACACGAATTCTAGGCAACAAATTATTTTTATGGGAAAATAAATAACCAGCAAGAACACAATTATAAATCGTAAGTTTACATCAATAAAAAATAATTAAAAGTAAATGAAGAAATTGCAAGGAGTTATTATGTACACTTAACAATAAGTTTTGATCTTGCTGAAGAAATTATGATTGCGGTCATGCCAGAAAGAATAAAATTTATAAATTATTAATTTTATTATTCCTTTTGAGCTAATTTTATTCATATAATTGTAATTGTGTAGACATTAGAGTACTGATCTTCACAAAGATAGAAACTAAAAGAGAGAAGACTTATTAGTTGTCCTTTGAACAAAATGAAATATTTAGTAAATATCTGCTTTTGATGTGTATTTCTGGAAAAAAACAATTCCACATGTTCTTTTTTTTTCCTTCTTTTTATTCTTCCTTAGGTTATTTTAGAAATAGAAAGCAAATTTTTAACCTCAAAATAAAGGATTGATAAAAAATAATGAATTCGAATAATTTTGAGGGGCAAATATAAACTAGTTCACTCATGATAAGGATATATTTGGGGCCAAGTTCAAACCAAGGGGAAATTTATTCTATTTCTCGTAGGCATAGTTGAGGGGCAAATCCAATCTAATTCACTAATGAGAAGGGTATATTTGAGATCACATTCAAAATAACGTACATTTGCTCTGTTTTTCATCGCTAAGGGGCATTTTGGAAAAATACATCGAGCCACTTAAAAATTATCTATACTTTTCACTTAGACACTTATTTTAAGTCTGTTTCAGTTGAACACTCCAATCACATCTCAAATATGTCATTTAAACATAAAATTTAAAGGCAGCAAAATATAAAATAAGCGTGTAATTCACACGCTAGAGTGACAAATAAGAAGAACGTTGATTTAACTTAAAACTTTCTTTTAAAAAAATCTTTTGAAAATTTTTGTTAAAAGAAAAACAAGAACCCCACCCCATCCCTTCGTCCTCTTTCCCACAAGCCCAACCCCTGTCACCATTCTTCTTCCTTCTAATCTCCACCCCCAAAGTAAATATTAATGGCATCATCGACTCAGATTCTTCCTTTCTTTGATGTTTCTGAAGCTTTCCACACAGATATTGTCAAGAATGTTTCCAAACTTTTTAATAATTATTTTAAAAATTTCTCTAATGGGCTAATTAGAGAAGAGAATCTGATTTGAGAAAAGAGCAAATAAACAAAGAAGAATAAATGATTGGGTTTTTAGGGATTCAAATTCATTTTCGTTCTATTTGGTGAAATTTTGGATAAATTTGTTAGTTTAGATTGTTTAGTAGTAGAAGCCAAAAAAAAAGGTATTTAATGGTTTTCTTAATTTGGGGATTTGAGCGAGAAGAGGCAGAAGAAAAATTAGAAGAGAACGGTCTTTTGAAAATTGCTGAATCGATTTCTTTCACACAGCTAAGTCCCAATCAAATTCCCGTAGGAAACAGCAGTGAGAGTAAGAAGGAGAAAGCAAAGGGGAAACACACAGAGATAGAGAGACAGTGTAACGATCCGACTTGTCGTTTTAAGAATTTAAGTCCCGTCTGGCGGCATAAGACCTTGAGCAGCTTCTTATTATATGTATTGACTTGCGTGTGTGGTTGAATTCAGTTACCGGATGATTCAAAGTGATTTGAGACATTTGGTCCCTAAAAAAGAAGCTTAAGTCTTAGGATTTTGACCGTAGTCGGAACCGTATGAAAACGACGTCGCAATGGAGTTTCGTCGGTTCTGTTATCTCCGTATGATGATTTTGGACTTGGAAGCGTGTCCGAAAAATTATTTAGAGGTCCGTAGTGGAATTAAGCTGGAAATGGCGAAACTCAAAATTTTGAAAAGTTTGACCGGGGTTGACTTTTTGATATCGGGGTCAGAATCCGATTTCGAAAGTGGGAGTAGGTCCGTAATGTCCAATATGACTTGTGTGCAAAATTTGAAGTCATTCCGAATTGATTTGATGTGTTTCGGCACAAGATATAGAATTTGAAATTTCAAAGTTCATTAGGCTTAAATTGGGGGTATGACTCGTGGTTTTCGAGTTGTTTGAGGTGATTTGAAGGTTCGACTAAGTTCGTATGATTTTTTGGGACTTGATGGTATGTTTGGTTGAGGTCCCGGGGGGCTCGGGTGAGTTCCGGGATGATTTCCGATCATTTTTTCTTATTTTGCAACTGCTGGAACTAATATCTAGTATTGTTCTTCGCGAACGTGAAGGGTCTCACGCGTTCGCGAAGAAGGATTTTGGACGGCTGGGATTTGCCCATCGCGAACGCGATGAAGAAGACGCGAACGCGAAGAAGGAGATGAGGAAAGCCTGCGCGAATGCGAGTGGTCAGACGCGAAGAGGAAAGGGAGTTGGGGGCCTGCCTGGCGTTAAGCCTTCGCG